TCTGGACCTCAGATAGTAGTCTGACTTATAGTCGTTCACTGGGCCCCTCCTTCAAGCCTTTCCCGTCTGGTAGACCTGCCATAAGTATGCTTCACTGGCAGAGGCCTTAAGAACCTAGAGTTGCTTTTTATACCATTGAAACTCTGTCGGACTTGCATAGAGGCAATATACTGTAAACAGTGAGGCCTGGCTGCTGACCACTGGGAAGAGCCTCAGAGACCTGGCCACTGACAAAAATAGGAAAGCCGGGGGGAGAAGAGCTTTGCTGGGAAGATATTGAGTTTGAAGTGCCTGGACCTTTCCCCCTGAAATCCTCTCTCTTTGGTGCTTTTATGATTTTATTATTTATTATTAATGTGTCACCTTCTGACCATATCCTGACTTCTGCTTTGACCTGAGCACAGGTTCTCTGTGGAGGCCATGCAACTCAGAATTAAAGGCCAGACATATTTGGGTTTTTATGTCCTTCTTATAAGTAAAAGTATTCATGAAACTGTGTTGAGCTTTTCTAGGAATCTGAGGAGAGTGACAAGTTTTTTACTCCTGGTTGTACAGCTTGACATGAAAACCTTAAGGGGTTCTTCTCAGTTGCTTTGCAATTGCTTGGGCTGCTTGGGTGGGGTGATGACCACTTTAAAAAAATTTTTTTTAAGTGATTTATCAGGGAAATTAGTTTCAGATAAAATTAAAGTTCGTAGGATGCCTGTTCTCCCCACCTCTTTCTCCATGTTTTTGTGTACTCTTCATCTCAGGCACCCCTATCACAGAAGAGTGAGTTTCCTCCTCCTTTCCTCTCCAGTATAGCCCTCTATTCTTGTTTCTTTCTAAGAATAAAAAACAAACAAAACAACCACTCCCAGGCTCTCTGCCTATCTTATTTTTTAAAATTAAATTACATTTTAGTTTCTTTTTCAATTCAGAAAAAAAAAAAATTTTCCTCCCTCCCTCTTTTCAGCTACCTTTTATGTGTTATCTTCCTCCACTAGAATGTAAGCTCCTTGAAGGTGGGGACTTTTGTTTTGCTTATATTTGTATTTCCAGTACTTAGCACAGAGCCTGGCATATTGTAAGTACTTAATAAATGCTCTCGCTCTCTGTGTCTCTCTTGTGTAAGTTGTACTCTTTTCCATTTCAGAGTATCTGCTCAGTTCTGGCCTTTTCATAAGAAATTCTTGGACATCTTAAAGATTGATTTCCCCCTTGTAGTGTTATACTATATTATGTAGACTTATACTCAATTTGGCCAGATAGGTTATTCTTGGTTACAAACCTTTATTCTTTGCCTTTTGGAATATCATATTCCAAAATTTCTTTTTTATGGTGGCAGCTTCCAAGACTTGTGGGATCCTGACTGTTACTCCTTGGTGCTTGAATTTTTCCTTTTTGGCTGCTTAGAGCATTTATTCTTTGACTTGAAAACTCTGGATTTTAAGTATGGTTTGATATTCGTGAAAGTTTTCATTCTGAAGTTTCTTTCTCTTTTTACTTTTCCCTTTGTGGTTCTAAGAGATCCAGGCCATTTTCATTTCTAATTTTTTCAAATGTGGAATCCTTGTGTGCGTGTGTGTGTGCGTGTGTGTGCGTGTGTGCGTGTGTGTGTGTGTGTGTTGGTCATGATTTTTCAGGTAGTCTAATGATTTTTAGATTATCTCTTCTTGACTTATTTTCCAGGTCCATGGAAAATACATTTCCTTTTGTTTGTTTAATCTTTTGATTTTAGCATTTTTTGTTGCCTCATGTATTTGTTTTCTTTTTGGCCTGTTTTCCATTTCAGGGGAGTTCCGTTCTAAAGTAATAATTCTCCTTGCCATTTTTTTCCTCCCTAGCTGTATCTCTTATTTCATTTCTTACAGGTAGTCTTGTAATGGTCAGGATATTTTTTTCACTGAAGTGCTACTTGGAATTTTTATAAAGTTATTACTCTCTTCTTGTGGGCACATCTCTTGAGCTTCTCTCCGTCCAAGTTATTTGTTCATTGTGTTTGGTGATTTCTTCTGTTTACTCATATCTCCAGCCTCAGTTTCTGGATTAGAGGTTGGTGCTTGAGTCTGACTGGAACTCCCTTGTTTTCATGGATGGTGATCCTGAGTTCAGAGGCCCTGCCATACCATGTGCAGGAATGGTCTGGCCTCATCTCCTGGTGTGATTCAGGCTGAACTATTTGACATGAAAATCTTAAGGGCTTCTTTTCAGCTTGTTTGCAGTTGGTCATAAGTTTCATGGGTTAGTTTGCCACTTTTTTTTTTTTAAACAATGCTTTTTTTTCTTTTCCCCTCCCTGGAAAATCAGTTGCACCTAATTTGGATTGCAGTCCAACTTTTCAGTGTTTCAGCTGTGATAGTTAACAGTTCCACACTTGGGCAGATATTTAGTTCCTAAATTCGTATCCTGTTAGGAAAAGCATTTCAGTCATTCACAGATGAGATACTGAGATACTGTTTGGCAATTCTTCCTGAAGCCCTGCACATATATTTTTAAGTGAGAGCTTAATTACATACTTTCACTCATGTCAGAAGTATATAATGGCTAGAAGCTGTTTAGGAAGTGGAAAGCTTTGACAAAAATAACTGTTATATTTCATATAAAATTTGTTTGGCTTGGTTAAAAATGAACTATTATTAAGGAGATAACAGAATTGAAACACATGTCTAAATTCAGGCCATTTCAAATTATGTCTAAAGTCTCAGACTTGATTTACAAGTTCAGAGGTTGTAGTGAACAAGAAATAACTAAATATTTGCTCAGTTATTGATCAAGTGTTTAATGAAAATCTGCTGTGTGCTAGGCTCCATGCTTGGTCCTGAGGATACAAAGAAAAGAGTCCCTGCCCTCAGGGAGCTTATATTCTGAGGGGACAAGCTGCAGATACAGGTTAGCCTTGGAGAAGAAGGCATGGGGGGAGTGAGGAAGGAGCAGGGCAGGACTAGGCAAGGTTTCATTCCAAAAGGTGGAAATGAGGAGAGGGAGTTTTGCAGACATGAGAGAATGCCAGGAGATGGAGTTCATTATGGTGTGTGAAGGAAGGCAAGAAGGCCACAAAGGAAGAAAGCAAGTAAACATTTATTAATCACCCACTACATACGTTCTAGGCCCTGTGCTAAGTGCTTTACAAACATTCTTTCATTTGGTCCTCACAACAGTGCTATGACAGAGGGGCTATTATTATCCCCATTTTATGATTGAGGAAACTGAGACAAAGAGATGTCAAGTGACTTGTCCCTGATTACATTGTCTCAGATGTAGAGTTCTTGTGGAGAAGTAACGTGGAAGAAGGCTGGGAAAGTAAGATGAAGCCAGGTTATAAAGAATCTCAAAAGCCAAACAGGAGTTTATAGTTGATCTTTATGTAATAGGGAACCTCTTTGAAGAGGATGGAAACATGGTCAGAAGGTCACTTTAGCAGCTGTGGGGAGGATGGATTGGAGAGAGGATAGCACGAAGGCATGGAGACTAATGAGAGGCTACTTCCACAGCTCAGGTGAGAGGTGATCAGGACCTCTGGGGGGGCCTGTGTGAGAGGAAAGAACGGGTTGCATGTGAGAAATGTGTTAGACGTACAAATGATAAGACGCAACAGCAGATGGGACATATGGGATCGTGAGGGGTCAAGGATGACAGCATGCTTGAGAGCCTTGCTGGCTGGGAGGAAGGATAGTGGTGTTCTCAACAATAATAAGAAAAGGCTTAGGGAGAAGATGAGTTCCGTTTTGGGCATGTTGAGTTTGAGATGCCTGTGGGGCAGCCACTTCACATCATCCAATACTCAGTTGGCATTGTGGGATCTGAGCTCAGGGGAGAGACACGGGTGGGATGTTTGGGTCTGGGAATTTTCTGCACAGATGTGATTTGAGACCACATGAGCCAATGAGGTAGTCATGTTAGAATGTAGAGAGAGAAGAGGGCCCAGAAAGGCACCTTGGGGAAGATCCACAGTTAGTGGTGGTGTGCCCTGGCACGTAGGAGGAGAATTGGGAGAGAGCAGTGGCATGGTAACCCAAGGAAGAGAAAGAGTTCAGGAAGAGGGTGCTCAGCAGTGTTAAATGCCATGAGGAGATCAAAAAAGATTAGGACTGAGAAAAGGCCACAGCGTTTGGCAATTAAGTACTTGTTAGTAACTTTAGAGAAAGCAGTCTCAGTTGAGTGATGACGTCACTGTAAGACATTGAGAAGAGAGTGAGAAGAAAAGGAGTTTGGCAGAGAAAAGAGAACCATAAGACAGGACAGGGCTTGGGGGGAGCTGTTGAGGGAATTTTCAGGATGGGAAAGACTTGAGTGTGCTTGGAGGCAGTAGCTAGGCTGAGCTGGAAGCTTAGGAAGTCAGCAGCATTGACTGTGGGGCCATCTGCTGGAGAAGATAGGATGGAAGGGGCCGAGGGGCCAGAGAGAAGGGTGCTCTGGTCAGCACAGATGGGTGGTAGTAGTGAGATGGAAAGAAGAGGGACCTCCTGGGGAGTGGCCTAGATTTTCTCAGTCAGGTATGAGCTGAGAGGACAGGAGGAGGCTTTATAAACTTCGTAACAGTGATGTTGCTGAACTGCACAGTCGAGTTGTTTGTTGATGCTGTGCTCATTTGTTGGCCTCCAATACCCCTCCCCCCCCACCCTCCACCCCACTACCACCGCTGCCCATTTATGGCTTCCAGTGAGTCCTCATCATGTGAACATTGCAGTTGAGGTGGAATAAGGTCATCACCAATGTGGTGTAGATGGAGGTCTTCTTTTGCCCGTTGGATCCTATAGTGGGTTATGATGCAGCCCTTGGCTTGGCCAGCTGCCATCCCTTATCCTTGTTCTGTGACTGCCTATGGAAAACTTGGTCCCCAGCCCTCCCCACTTCGGGTGTGCACATCATCATTGGTAATGTGCTGCTGCATTCCCGCACCCACCATGCACCTCTCCCTTCTCCTTGAGGAAATGACCTCCGTCAGGGAGTTTAAAAGCTCAGGTAGAAGATGTGACTGTGGGGTTCAATCACCTTTTATTCTTGTTCTTTCTTCACAGAGTTGTTACATCTGTAACTTATTGTATCTGCTGACCAAGAGGGAGAATGGTGAGGTTTCTTACTCTACATGCTACTTCTTTGCTGTTGGTTCTGCAGACTTTGAGAATTATATGGTGCTGATAGTCTTGCTTCATTGCAAGAGCTTCTGATGGCAATTTCTCGGTGCTTTTTTGTCTGGGAGCAGGGTCTTGAGGGCGTAGCTGACCATCATAGTCCTCTACCCATGGCCTGATTTGTAGGATGAGCTGGAATGAACTGAGTGTCATGGAGAGCTGGTTGAACACTTGCTTATATTTTGATTTTATTCTTATCCCACAGTGTCTGACACTTTTTTGCCTGCTTTGCTTTTTCTAGTCAAACCTTTTCGTGTGAGGAAATTGCTTGAACTCCAGTCCAAGGTGGTGAGTAAACTCAAGGATGACCAGTGAAACATTAGGTAAGGACGTGGGCAACCTTAGTTTTTGTGTGATAGTGTATTTTTAAAAATATTAAATGAGCAGAAGGTTCCTGGGCACCAGCTCTGGACAGTAAGTATCACTGGCCCCTGCACTGCTAAATTCTTACTCCATTAAACCTGCTTTAGCCCAAGAGACAATGCCATTTGCACATACACATTTGTATTTGTTAATGACAGTGCTTGCATTATCAAGGTTACTGTGGCAGAGGGCATAAGCTGTTTTCAAGTCTGCCCAAGAGGACCTCAGCAGCAAATATATGGTGTTCCAAAAGTCTTAGTGTAATAGCTTCAAACTAAACTTAGCAACTACCATGTGCCAGGCGTGGTGCTAGGTCCCCAGGAGACAAAGACAGGATCAAAACACTCCCTGATCTCCTGAACTTAGATTCTGTTGGTGGCCATGACGTCGGTTGGTTGGTCGGTTCGTTCTTGTCGTCCTTTGTTCTTGAAGAGGACCGAAATGACATCACGATGTTAGAATCAGGTTACAGTGTGTCTGACTATGGCTGATCAAACCAGTACCAGCTTGGAATGCTCTACCACAGGTCAAGCACAAATAGTCCACATGAACATTTGGAGTGGATTCTCTAAATTTGCATATCTCGCATTTCTTTCAAGCTACTTCAGTTCTGCTTTGCGCATGGAGCATGGCACCTTCTCTGATGAGGGCACACTCTGATTGTGTGACATGGGAGGCACTGGCACAGGACTGCCTGGCATGAATATGACACATGCACAGATAAATGCATACAAGGTAGTTTGAGGAGTGGGCGCAGCAATAACTGGGAGATTAGGGAAGGCTTCAGGAAGTCATTGTATGACTTTTGAGCTGAGCCTTGAAAGAGGGGGAGGACAGGAGGCTCAGAAGCCACCTGTTGTCCTATGATGATGCTGATGCTAATTATTATTATTGTAATACTTCCAAGGACTGTGAGGTAGGTAGTCTCAATAGTATTATTCCCATTTGCAGATAATAAAGCAGTAGTTCAAGAAAGTGGAATTACTGGTCCCTAGGCCCATAGCATGGAAGTGTCCAGACCCAACCAGGTCTCATGACACCAGGAGTTACCAGCTTGTCCTGTGCTGTTAATATCACCATTCAAGACCTAACACTGTTTTCATTGAATAAGTATTTTCACAACAAGATTTTAAGTCCCAACTGCTAGCCCACATATTTTAACAGTATTCAATTCAATAAAATTGCCATCTATATTAAAAGCAATTTGAATACTCTTTCAGTTTGCTTGAGTGAGACATGATATTTCTGAATAGTCAGATATGCCAGAGGTGCAGTTGTCAAGCAATAGTAACTTATCATTCTGTGATCATTATAGATTTAGTTAAAACGAGAGTCTCTACTAAATGTAAACTACTTGGCTGGTGCTTTGCACTAGTGAGACATTTGCCAGTGAACCCTTCTATAATTGTTATCCTGGGACGTGGCTATTTCCCCTACCCTACTCCCTACTTTTGTTTCTCCTTTGGCCTCTAAATCAGGAGTGGATAAGATCTCTACCATGAGTGTGCTGCTAGTGAGATTGTGGCAGAGAGGCATTGGGAGGTAGTGGAGAGATGGCTGACCAGGGCGTTAGGAAGACCTGCCGAGGAGCTGTGCACGTCACCTACCATCTTAGTGTCTTAAAGAATCTTGGTATGCACGTGTTGCTGCTGCACGTTAGCTCAGAGTGTTGCCATACTAAGAGTTCCCACAGCAATGGAATCACAAATCTGGACCAAAATGGGTACAAGGTAGTTTGGTCGAGGGGAAAGAGCCCTGCAGTTAGGAACAGGACGTCTGGGTCAGAGCCAAGGTTTGGCTACTTAGCAGCTCTGGAACTTGGAGCAAATTGTACTACTTTTTCATGAGCCTCCATGCCTTCCTCTGTGACATGGAGATTCTTGTACAGCCCATCTACAGTGTTACTGGAAGGGAAGGTCTTTGTAAATTGGTTCTGCCTGGGCCCTTTTCACTTGTCCCTCTATCTTACTTCATTTGGTGGTCTCCTCAGCTCCCAAGGATTTAATGACCATCTCTACGCTGAGGATTCACCAGTCTGCCTGTCCTGCCCCAGCATCCCAGCTTGACCTCTAATCTTGCATCTTCAGCTGCCTTTCAGACATCCTGAACTGGATGTCTAGTAGACAATTTAAACTCAGTATGTCCAAAACCATATTCACTATCTTTTCCCCTTAACATCTGCCCCCCTTACCTTCCCTATTACTGTAGAGGGTACCACCATCCTCCCAGTCCCTCAGGCTCTCAATCTTTGTATCATCGTGGACTCTTCACTATCTCTCACCCCCTCTCTTCCCATATCCAAGTGGTTGCCGAGGCCTGTCAATTTCACCTTTGCGACATTTCTCGAATATGCCCCTTTCTCTCCTCTGACTCTGTTCCCACCCTGGAGCTAGCCTCATCACCTCACTCCTGGACCATTGCAATATTATGCTAATTTTTACTAGGCTGCCTGCCTCAAGTGTTTCCCCACTCCAGTCCATCCTCCATTCAGCCACCAAAGTGATTTTCCTAAAGTAAAGGTCCAGCCATATCTCTCTCTCTCTCTCTCTCTCTCTCACACACACGCACACACACACACACACAC